AAATTCGGGTATGACGGTTATCTGGTTGCATGTTATTAGTCAATCGAGAAGTCCGATGACTGGTTTGCCAGTCCGACGTCCGTGGATTGTGGACAGTGAAGTACGTCATAACTACAACGACTTTTGCTCGCTTGTTTATCTTCATGGACCAGATTAGGCCGGTTTATAACGCAACTTTTAATGTTTGCTAGATGGTGCGACTGTTTCGAGTAAATTTACAATGATTCACGGGTCTCGCCTTCCCCTCGCCGTCCACAGTTTTAACATCGCCGCGTTATCCAAGGTGTATCATACCGAATCTTTCTAGGGCACCTCAATATCTCAGAATGAGCCGGATCTTGTAGGATCACTCGCGAACCTCGAACAGGTTCCTCTTTCATCGCTGTCTTGTCTTCGGTTCCGTATCTGCACTGCGAAACAAATCGGGCTCGGATACTCCGGACATTGCTGCAATACTGCTGATCTCCAAATGCCGCGTTCAACTTAGCCCGAGAAGCTGTCGACTCAGATCCCTGATGACCCTCTGCTCTCTGCAAAATAGAAGAAAAACTCATCCACAATGTTGCTTCGTTCGTGGAAGACGTATTCAGTCAATCAGGCACTGGTAAGAATATTAAAGACAACGACTTTGTACACAAGCCCCCCATCTTGTTCTCTACCTTCGTCTCGGAAACTACGGATCGGCTTTCGTTAATGGTTGACGGGGATAGCAGCAGGTGCGCCCTTTTCTCCTACTAAACTCGTCGATGTCCTCATAAGCCTTAACACCCTAGTGGAATCTCGATGAGTGAAGCTATACATACTACTTCTGCCGAGAACTCGATCTTGGACATTCAGAACGATCATGGTCTATGGGACGACGGACCGATGGTGGCTGGGCAACGAGCCACCCATCGTTTGGCCGATGGCTTTCCGCAAGGATTAAGGATGCTGACGCAAAGGTAATACATACTGGCCTGGTCATTTCTTCGACTCAACAAAATTATATGTGCAGCAGTGATAATGATGCTTACTACTATGCCCCCCATGGCGATGCTAGTACCACTATGGCGATTCACCCCGCTGACACTAGCGTAATCAACAATGGTACAGCTAAGGCTTCTTTTCCGTAGGTGCTTCTACTCGTACGTCGACTTTTAACACATATTTTTCCATTTTAGTCCTAGTCCTCACTGGGGTATGCCCGAACTAATAACCCTGAAGGGTTTCCAGTCTCACGGTCTCGCCCGAATGGCGCCACCTCCGGGGCCGGTAATATCTACCCCTTCGTGAGGCGTTCCTGGCTATTCTTTGACAGCTTTAGGATTGACTCGGTGATAACAGAGACGACGCTCTCCTGTATTCGGCAGTGCAATCGATCCCGTGCGATGCTGGCGGAGATTTCGGAACAGTGTACGCAGCCTTGTACTCAGTCCCATCTTTGACTGACTGATAGTGCAGAGCTATCCATACAACCCGTCGTCCTATGCTTTGGTATGCATCTGTCGGTTGTTATAATTTCGCTAATTGAATACTTTACAGCCCTCTCGGGTACGAGAAGAAACAATTTACCCATAAAATGGCACACGAAATTGCTCAGAGACACAGCATCCCGTATCAGGATTTCTATTATTACTCTTGGGTCGATGAAAGCTACCACTACTGTCCCATCGCCGACTGCATGTCTGGGCAGAATACTTTCAGAGGAGACGCCATCAAGATGCACCTCGAATATTACCACCCGAATATCACCACTATGGAGAAGGTTGTATGCGCTAGGAAATCACATGAAGCGAGCAAGTGCCAGCCGGGGAGTGAAGTGAAGGGAAAGTCTTATGAGCAGCATTTCAGGGAGAAACATTCTGACGCTCATTCATTGTGTCCCTTCTGTGGTCGTCGATATAGGAGGGCAGATTATCTTTGCAGGCACTTTGAAAAATGCAAGAGCCTCCTTTGATCATGCTATAACGTATATGTACAGCAGGCGTTTAGATGTACCTTCTTCCTCGCGTATTTTCATCCCAACAACAATCTACCTGCTTTTTGACCATTTCTCTCGTATTTTCGCTATTTTATCTAAGAAACGTTAAGAACGCGTCGGTATGCCATGAAGAAAATTTGAGCTCACACTACATATGGCCGCCGTAATGCCCGATGCTGTCCTTGCAGACGGAAGGAGTCTTAGCTATATGTATCCTGATGCTACCTGTGCTAAAATTAAAAGCACCGGGAAAGGAAGGCGGGACAAAGAGCGGGAAATCGTCTTCGTTGTCATCGCAGAGATATCGTGATATTTCAAATTGATTTGGGGTATATCCGCAGCGCAATACTGTGCAATCTCGTTTTGAGTCCGCTCTCTCTCCTTGGTGAATTGAAGATCGCGTGCAGCATGGGACGAGTTTCGCACAGGCTCTGAAGGCTATCCGCCTCGAGTCAGTAAATGAAAAATGACTTTGATGCTGGTCAGAGAAGATCATCAAACGAGGACGGAGTGACCTGCAGAAAATTGTGGATATACTGTGTCGAGTTTGAGAAGGTGAACAGGCGAGGAAAGTGAACGAAGCTCCTGGGTTTGATCAAGTTCGATGTTGATACTCCAGCGTAGGTTCACCGTTCGACTAGAGTCTCACTATGCAACAGAACACATATGTCTGAAGGTTTCGTTATGACCACTAGCACATTTCGAAAGTAGGGCACTTACCCGACCTGATACCGAGAAAAGCATATCCTGAAGAGCACAGACAAGCTTCTCGTGGGGTTGGCTAGTGAAATTCTTCTTGAGGACCCAACTTGATCGTCGTAGATGCAACATGCAAGAGGGAGGGATACGCGGTGGACTGTTCACGTCTTCCCTTTCTCATTCGATTGCCGTTCGCAGTAGCGCAGGGAATGCCCGAATGTCGTTGGGATGAGTTGATGACGTTGGGATAGGCTTGCGCTGATGGTTACTGGACGATGATTAAGGACCGCAATGTTGAAGGTATCCCAGAGAATCTGGATCGCTCCATAGTCGCCTCTTGATGAAATTTAGCCAAAAAAACAAAAAAGCGAACCTGCACACACCTCACAGTCATCGGTTTCACAAGGATATCCAGCTTCCAAATCCTCTAGTTGGCTGATAACCAAAGCTGATTAGCAACGACGTATCCAGCCTCCCTCAAGAATCGGGGCCTCGGCGCCCAGAGGACATGCAGGAAGAAGACTATGTCTTTGACCCAATGATGCGAGAAGGCAAGCAGTTCGAAAGGTCAACGATGTCGAAACCTGTTCATCGTCATTGCCTCTGTTCCAGCAGCTGATAAAAGAAGTAAGTCTTACCTGAGACCGCCCTCCTGCACCTATATACATTCTCCCAGTCGGGTTAATAAGATATCAACTTTTCTAGGTAGGAAAAGTCGGCAAAAAGGCTTGACACATGGATGTTTTTACTACGTACCCATTGATAGCCTCAACCCAAAGCTGCTTGGAGCGTCGCCCCCAGTCTCCCTTGGGAGCCAGGTCCCTGATACCTTGATCCAACAATACGAACAGCCAGTCCCAAAGGCAAGCAATGTCGAAACCTGTTCACCATCATTGCTCAGTGCTCGTGCTCCAACAATCGATGAAAGAAACGGCGTACGTTCTACGAGTCAGGGTACCAAGAGATGCTAGCGCAAAGCTGCTGTAGCTGGAAAAAAGTCAGTGAGAAGCCCCAGCATACGCATGCTTTTACTACGTACTAATAGGCACTATCTCTAAATAGCGCACGAAGCGTCTTGAGAGGATACTGTACTGCTGCGCCGAGTTAGCATTTTGCGGTGAAAATCGAGGACGGAGCATGTAGAAATTGATGATGATGGTAAGAAGACAAGCCGGACTTGTGGCCCTGTCGCCTTGATTCCAACCACGATCACAGCGGCTCTCTCCATTTCTTCCTTTGTTCTCAGTGTCTCTGTCTCTGTCGTCTGACCACCAGCACATTTTGACGTTGACGCATTGCCTACAAGCAGGCGAAGGAACGTACGGCGTTACAGCAAAATCCAGTCTCTGGCGAGCATAGCGATGGGTCGGAATGGCATTGTTGAGGGACTGCTCGTAAGTGTAGATATTTAATGAATTAGACCTGACTGTGCTTACAAGGGTTTAATACATTATAATTGGATTGACGTTACAGTTGGTAAGTACTAAATTAAGATACAATTAATGGGTGCCTTCATCGGGGCCAATCATGGGCCGAGTCGGGACCTCGACCGTCCTCGGCTTCCTCCCCCGGGCCTCTTCAACACCGACGACGTCAACCTCAGAGCCAAAACCACCATCGACTTTGTCGACTCTCTTTTCGCCAATCCCAAAAATGTGCCGTTCAGGTCCAAGGGACGGTTGTGGTCGAAGAATTGAGGCCGTATTACAAGAATTTAGATGTTCATATGGTCGAGGGCGGTAGTCATGCACTTTTCTATGATAATGAAGCTGAGGCAGTCGATAGGATTCCTGTTTTTGTATCTAAAGCGTTTACGAGTAAATAGGTCCCGCCGCTGGATTTTTCAGCAAGTACTGTAAAAATATGATAACCTTCTTACTGTCTGTTAAGAATATGGGAAGTCGTGCCAATTACACAAGTGCCCAGATGCTTAGGTTCACACAAGGTTGTAGAGGTTCAAAGATGAATTGATTGAATGATTCGCTTCTATAATGGTATCGACTCTGTATATAACTGAGTCACTGGAATTTTACCGTGCTTCATCATATCAGCAAGAAAATCAGAGAAAGAAAGTGCCGGTAGGTAAACTGTAAGACGGAGAAGACGGAGGACAGGCATATGTTGACTCATGCGCCAGCGGAGATCAATATCCATGATACTGTCCTTGGGCGCGAGACGTGTATGTGACCAACGAAGGTATCACATAGCGCCTTCAATTAGAGACATTTGGGTGCTTAGGCATCCCATGAGCATATAAAGCCACGAGACAAATGCCTGAAAAGGACGACACCATTTCTACGTGAGAACGATTAACGAAGAGGTAGCACACTAAAAGAGAGATAAAAAGCTCACTGCGATTACAGTTTCTGATGAAAGGCTATCAACACGCGTAAGCACATTTGGCCCCAGTAATCGTGTAATCATAGGATTCAGAAAGGTTTCTGTTATCGACCGTCCAGCCAACCAGGAGCTTCCTACCTAGAGATTTGAAAGGTTTCATGATTGTACGCAATCACAAGATAACGTTCTCACCCGTCCTTTATTATTGTAGGAACGCTGGGTCTGTAAGTCGGTGATAGATGATAAAATTGTTTCCATTCTCTCGTTCTGTGAGATTCCAAGTGTATGGATGGCATCATAGAAATAGTGCTGGCGTTCAATTTATTTTCGAGGGCAGTCAGCTTGTTCTCAAGGCAAACAACTTTATCTTTAAGTCCATTCTCAAAGTCTGCAATGGCGAACCGAGAATCGGTCGCAACGCCAATCTGGAAAAATAAGATCAGTGAGTGATGAAGTATAAGCGTACGGATGCTTTACTATGAAATCCTCTTTAATTCTTTGTACCTGTTGCTTGGAGTTGACAATGGCGCTAGAGACATTCCTCGCCTTGAAGTAACGTTTAAGTCCGCTCGCTTTTAGATGCTTCTCCTGTATTTCTTTCAACACATCCTCTAGACGACTAGGTATCAACGCGCCAGACATCAGTACCTGTCACTCGGCATACTAATATATCAACGATGACTACTCACTCTTTCAGGGCTTCACAGAAATGAGGAGCACTCGTGCCAGCCTCATGTGCTTCAGCGATCTTTATGACTACATCCATAGTAGCTTTCGTGTTCTGCATAAGTTCTTGAATATCTTCGTCATTCTGTTCTGCAGTCTTTGATACCGTAACTCAATACAACCAAGCTTAATCAGAGGTTCGTTGACGTACCTGAATGACCTCAAGGAACGCTATCACGCAGGTAGCAACACCTCCGATATGCGGAAAGGCCGCAATTTCTCCAACAGTAGAGGCAAGCTGTAATATGCTGACCCAGGTTTTTGTTTCTGTCATAGTGTCAACACTTCGAGCAGTGAGTGGAGGAGGTTGTAGGCAAGTAGACAAGGCAGCATTACATAGTAAAGTAGAGGCATTTATACTTATATTTCCTTGCACAGCCAATGCAATACAGCAACTCAGCCATACACCACTATGTGAATCTGTTGCCTGCGACACAGTTGCGTCTACCCGCGCCTGTTTTGGCGCTTGATCTAGTTCATCCACACAGATCCGACTCCGAGTGCGGAAGATTGTTGTCAACAGTCCTGAAAACAAGAGAAGAAAGGAAAAGGTCCTAAAAGATGGCGAATCACGGTGAGAGAGCATAAAAATGGCTAGAGGAATCCCTTCTCCTGTGAGTCCTTTTACATCCATGCAGTAGATTGTGAGCCTTAATCGCATACGTTCTGGGTCCTGGTGATCGCGGGTGATAGCGTTTGATATGAGGAGCGCTCCGCTTGTGGGCGGCTCCAAGCTCACATCAAGTTCAGTACAACGTGCCACCACAGACTTGAGCTTGAGTGCCTTTGTGCAACGTGTGCGGCGTGAAGCACACATGTGTCTCTGTGCCTCCGACGCAGTCTTCTCTCAAAGAATGCCAAAGCAGCCTATCCGTTGGCTTCTTGAGACGTCTTCAGTTCGAGCTTTACCTTGGCTTTACCGGTAATCCATTAAATTTTAGGTTATGGAACGGACGTGCAATCGATATCGTTATAGCCATCAGCAGCTAGCTCGAGTCCCTTCTCGAAACTGATCAGATGACCCTAAACCCATGCAACATGACGAAGGGCAGTGTGTATGCACGGCTGTTTGTGTCGTTATCTACAAGGCAGTGATGACGGCAAACTAGCAGTCGCGTGACACCTTTGTGCCGCTGCGAGAAGCGCCGGATATGAATGCTAGGTGTGTTGTAAAGATCCACGAATACTAGGCACAAGTAAAATTTTGGACGCACATTTGTGAGCCACTAGCAGGCTGCTAGGAACGTTTAACGATATGAGATGCAATGAAATCATTGATGTAATATATTAGGAATACAAGCGCCGTCGATATACCTTGTCCTGGAAAACCATTTTTACTAGGCTCACATACCCTGGTGGAGCAATACAGGGTTACTGGATGGACTTTTCTTGGTCACAAAGGAGCGCGATCGTCTCGTCCTACGGCCAGAACGTTGTTAATGTATAAAAAGGTATCGCTAAGCAGCTACTTACGCTTACATATCGTGTTTCGACACTTCATGTCGCGCGGACGTTTGAACGCGGATACAGACCATGCCAAGGATGCGTCCAGGCGCATGGAAATGGTTGTTTATCGATAAGCATAACCAGATAAATCTGCATTCTTGTTAGTAAAATGCCACGGAGATTACAACGGGCGACTCGCCATCACCCAAGAGACCAAAGACAGCGCCCTCATTCCACCACTTTATTGACAAATCAAGCCCGGACTCGTGCTCGTAGCTCACACTCGCGTCGCGTACGATATAATTTGGGTGCTCCCAGAAGCCGAGCCGTTGTCGCAGATGGACCGATGGTGACATTGTTGTTCGCAGGACAGGACTGCGCTACTGAGATGTTATTCCACACATATATGCAATGACATGCATACCTTGATCTTTTCCTATTGCACGCGCGCGCGCAGACATGTACAGGTATGAAGGACTCGCTTCGAGACGCATATAGACGGGCCACAATGACGATGGCGAGCCCAGAGGGGTTCGAGCACTGTTAACTGTCCTGGTGCCCAAAATTGCCGCCTGCTGGGAAGTTGGAACGCTGCGATGACACTCGATTTCGGTTCAGCTCGGCCTTTGCCTGCGGCGTCGCCGTCTGTGTCGTTGCCGTCAGCTGCTGCTTCACTTCATTGGTTAATTATCAATAGGCAAATTTCTTGTTTGGTGTTGTTCAGGAAGAAGGGCAGAAGAGGGACTACTGCGCCTTAACTGCCTCGTTCATCGATTTTGGGTGCTCAACTCGACCCATTCAACTTTATAGCAGCACGACAGGGATTGACAGAGTAAATCCCGAAAAACACGGGGCGGTAGTGGTGGTGGTGGGGATGGCGAAGAAAGCTTATGGTGGCTGTGCATCATGACTTGACTTAGGGTACTCTTTTCTCCTACCACCATCGATTCTCGTTGGTGCAGTTTTCTGACCCCTCTCACGCTAATAGCCTCTGAGCGATGCCAGACATACGTCAAGGAGCCCTTATTCTGATAGGCGGTGCGCATATTGTGCGAGCTATGTGGGGGATGTCCTTGTGGAAATAGGGGCTGCATCGTTTCTCTGTGGCTTTGCTCCAAGCGTCGACACACGCTAGTGCTCCATAGCCTCTGTAAAATGGTGTATTCAACTTCCTGGCACTACCATGGAGAGCTGTCACGAAGCCTCCATGTTGGAGTACCCCTCCTTGGTTTGCCCCTATACTCATAGCCGCACTCTCTGTCATTCACCACTGGGGCACTGTCTAGCGATGACGCTGGATTTCGCTGATATCATGGGTGATATCTCGTTTCTTCCCTTGCTATTGATAATACTATACTCCGAACTGTGGAAGAACCCATTATGCGGCGTTGTTACGCCTGGTGGTCCTTCCCTTGGACCCTTGTGTTTTTTATTTTTATTTTGCTTCATTCTGTGGAAGGAACCCGGTATATGACATTGTTATGCCTGGTGTTCCTTCCTTGTCTTTTCTCTGCTATGCTCCGCACTGTGGAAGGAACCCGTTATTCGGCGTTGTTACGTCTGGTGGTCCTTCCCTCGCGGTTTTTGCAATCTTTTCTCTGCTATGCTCCGCACTATGGAAGGAACCCGTTATTCAGCGTTGTTACGTCTGGTGGTCCTTCCCTTGCGGCTTTTCTTTGTCACTATGTGGAAGGAACCGTCTCCTGTCTTAATGGCATAAACGACGAGATTAACCCTAGGGCTGAAGGTGCCATCATTCGCCTCTCCATGAAATGGAGTTTGTGGATTGCACACCCGTCGGAAAAGTGTAGCTCGTCGTACTAAACTCACATCGCACGTGTGACGCCTGTTTTATCCTCTCATATCCTTGCTGTCGAGGTCCCGCACTGGGCGGAATGTTATCGTCCCAAGATCCCTCGAGAGTGGCGTTTATGTCGTTTCTGCAAGGTTACCGTAGAGGACGAGGTACATGCCCTCCTGTGTTGTACTATCGCTCCTGGTTTGATAGAGCTTCGCCGGGCGTTTCTTGCCGATGCCGATGCATTATGTCCTAATCTAGCCAATGCTTGGGGACGTCTTGCCGTTGACGACCGGTTGGCATGCCTCTTACAATTGCCTATCTTGGAGCCTCGATTGGCGCAATATGTGTATCATGTATTGGAGATATTCGGAGCTACACCGGTGTATATTCCTCCTCAGACGCTTTGGTCACATAGCTAATTGTAATAGTACAGTTCTACCGGGCATGGGTTTTGGTTAGGCATACTGTGAGAACATTGAACGTTACATTCCTCCCCCGGTCCCTGTGGCAGTATCAAACCCGTGAGATGTTCGCCAGTTCGCACCTGGGGAATATCACAGCGGCACGGTATTGCTATGGTCTGTGACACGTTTCGTGGCGGCACAGAACCCCGGTGTTCCTTATTGGGACCGCATACCGGTTTTCTAAACTCTAGACTCTGACGGCCACGACGTTCACACCTCTTGTTCCGATTTTTTCATCAATGACCCCTTCTCCTACTCAATGTCAGAAACGAGGCAAGGACTTCAGACTAGGATGAACGATGACGCTCTTAACCTTCTCTCCCTACCGGTGACCGGTTTCCACAACTTCAGCTGGTGACCGTTTTGTGCATTTCAAGAATGGCTGGAGTGACAGGACAACAATGAAATGATGAGCATGGCCAGACGTTGCTATATGGTTACTGACAATTTCAAGCTCTAAGGGTTCGCCCCGTTTGCTAACCTGGCTACGGGGAATCTCGCCCTGACCATCCGTTGTATTCGTCTCACGACTTTGCCGCCCTTTTCATCCTTCTCGAAATCCTGAGTATGGGTTGCAGAACGTTACACAACCTGGTATCACTCCTGGATCTTACGCTAAACGAAGTCAATCGCGCACACTCTGTCGCAAAGCAAGTCTCTAGCCTCCAAGCATGTTAACGCCCGTGCTGCATCGGTTAGCCCGAATCCTTGCCAAAAGTCGAACCACAGTTCTCCACTACTAGGCTTCTTATCTTCCTTCCGACTTTCTCCAATCTCTCTCCTCTCGTCACCGGCCTATGACCATATGCTGTCTTGTGCTTCGATGCCTGAACCGCATGGGGTAATAGCATCTCCATCACCATGGAAAACGACGTAGGAATGATTGGTGTCCTTACTGGTATCATTATCCTTAAAAAGAGACGCAACTCGCCATGGATTCGCTCAGCGTTCTTCGTCCTCAAGGATGCATCCTTTTGTAAATGGCCCTCTCTCCTCCATCCTCCTAGCACTACTCTTCGCGAAGTTCTCATGTGCTGCTCCATGGCCAGCTTCCGCCAAACATGCTACACATCGACTCAGGATTATTGGGCGCGACTTGAAGATCGAGGCTTACCATCCGAAGTCGACTTTTAAGGTAATCACCCCGGTTATACGCGCCTGTCAACTTCTCTCATCGTCTCTCTTGGACAGACCTACGGCAAAGGCGAAGAATCCCTGTCTTTCAAGGGTGGTAATTTGGAAGTATCCATGACATCCTTCATTGCATCAGAGCTCGGTGTCGATTCCTCTGCTATCGGTTATCGATCTGGGCACTCTAACGATATCATGAGTTACTCGTACGTGAAGCAATATCATGTAAGCCCATAAAATCCTCGTGTCAATGCTTCTATTGATGATTGTGTTTTCCTAGGATGGTGTTCCCTTCGCAAACGCTGTAGCCAATGTCGCTTTCAAAAATGGGAAAGCGGTTGCCCTTGGCTCATCATTCGTAGACACAAGTGAGAAATCTCCCTGGCCTTCTCACCTCCTGCATTGACGCTATACGTAGCAAACATCGCGTCTTCTTCGCCGTCTGTGTCTGTCGACTCGATCATCAGCAAAGTTGAGGACTCCTTCATTGCCGCTTACAACGGCATCTCCTCGCTGGAATACCTAGCCCAATCCGATGGTTCTATCGCGCTTACACATGTCGTTCAAGTTCAGAACGAAGAAACGAATGCTTGGTATGAGGCATTCGTTGATGCCCATTTGGGGGAAATTCTTTCGGTGACGGATTTTGTTGCTCAAGCTACAGTATGAGTCTTTGCCCTTTCGGTTCGGCCGTCACGCTGAGTAATCTTCTAGTACACCGTTGTCCCTATAACCAAGGCATCTGTCGCTGAAGGCGAAGAGACCTTGGTCGATCCCGAAGATTTTGATTCCTCTCCCGAAGGCTGGGTGGAAAACGGGGTGACTGCGTAAGGCTTACGTCTTTGTACCTTTCGAATTACTCACTCGCACTCCGTTAGTGGGAACAACGTTGTTGCTTATAAAAGCAATCAATCCGCCACGACCTCCGAATCGTCCACCAATACGTTTGATTACCCATTTAACGTGACTATTGGTCCAACCGAAGGCAGTAATATCGACGCAGTGCGAACGAACGCCTTCTACATCATCAACAAAGTTCACGATTTCGTGTACAAATACGGATGGACAGAGGCGAGCTATAATTTCCAGACCGATAATTTTGGGAAGGGAGGAGCGGAGGGAGACCGTGTCTTGATGTCTGTGCAAGACTCGTCGGGTACTAACAATGCCAATTTTGCTACCCCTCCAGAGTATGGCCATCTTTTCGTCTGATATACGCTTTTACTAAATTCGGGCTAGTGGACAGTCTGGTACATGCCGGATGTATATCTGGACTTTGACGACTCC